GGTGTGTAAATTGTCAAATATTGTAGGCTTTAGAGAGTGAGGTTTTGGCTATAAAAGGAGAGTTTTAACTCTTATTTCTACACACCAACAAAGAGAGAAAGAGAGAGCAAGGTATTCCATAAACTATAAGAAAATAGTTTGTGAAGAAAAATAGAGTGTGAGAGATATTGTAGTGAGGTGGAAAAAGCAAAAGAGTGTTTATTTCTTTTGAGGGTGTAGTGGTCTTAGGAGTATTTATACTCGTTACTACACAGTGTGTAAAATTCCTCACTATAGTGATATCAGTTGCTCTTCTTGGCCGTGGTTTTTTCCCTTATTCAGAAGGGTTTCCACGTAAAAATCTTGGTGTCATTATTGCTGCATTTCTATTCTTGCTGATTTAATCATAACTTAGTGTTCTGCATTTATCACTAATACCGTGAATACTATTTATACGGGGTTTATTCCCAACATTCCATTTTAGAACCAAGGTTGTGGTGATTATACGTGTTCAAGCGAAATAGATGCATAAGAGAGTATGGATATACTGTCCCAATACTAGATAGGTATCCAACAATGAGTGACTCATAATCAGTTGCTTTTAACCGAGTACTTGCATGATAGTAGATTACTAACTAGAGATACAGATCTTGTCGTTTTAGGCTTGATGTGGATGCTGGTGTCGTGCTCTATGAGGTTAGTGAATATGGTAAGTCACATTTTTTGGGTCCAAATTTGATTTAGCAAGGCATGGATGATGTTGCATAGAGTAGTGGGGTGGTTTCAAATATTATAGAGTAGACACAACTCTTATGTTGACAAATAAGATCGTAATTTGGAGTTCATAAAATGTGAAAAGTTTTTTTTGAAGAGTTTCTTAGGTAAGGAGTTATGAGATTTGGATCAGAATGGATTAATAGCATGTAAACTTATTTTGCCATCGGGACATTGAGTTGTACACTTTGTATTTTATGCATTCATGGTGAGAGGCATATGATTCAGCCAAAGATCCGAAACTAGGTGAAAATTTTGACATAAGAAGGAAGTTCTGTAACTATTATTGATGGACAAGTACGATAGTTAAAGTGGAACAAGGTTGCTTATGTAGGAGTGTTATACTGAACATCCAATAGAGGAGGAGTCTGAGGCACACATGCAGAGTAAGTACATGCAGTTGTTAAAAATGTCGGATATACTTTGTAACACGTTCAAGGACGAATGCTTATTTAAGTGGGAGAGAGTGTAACATCTCGTAAATTTTCGTGATTCATTTTAGAACTATAAAATTCTACTTGCTCGACTTAATCAGATACACTCGTTGGAAATAGTGAAATTTATGAAAATAATATTACGAATATTTATAAGTGAGTTTAAGTTGTTTAAAAAAAACTTGAGTTATTGCTTAATTAATTTTTTTTATTAGTGTATACAACTAGAGAATTAACAATTGTTTATTTTACATCTGAGTGTATAGATGTCTATTTATATTTTCTTGAAATTAAAATTTATATATTGAGGGATAGGAAAAAAAATGTCTCTATAAGTGGCTAGTGGGCTTAATTTATAAATGGTGCATATTAGTGAGTCAGAAATTAATTTTGAATAATAAATAATAGTGAAGTAGTATAGGCCCATATCGTTTTTGTTTGTTTGTTGAGTACGTGTTAACTAATGAAGACCTAGGGCATAAAATAAGAGTAAATAATGTCTTAGTTCTTGAAGAGAGTAAAACACACATAAAGAAAAATTGCCGCAAGAGGACGTCTGGTTTTGATCAAGAAAAAAGTTTAAAAAAAAGACAAAAGAAAGCAAGTTAAGGACGTTTGGTTTTTCCCAGGTATTAATTGTGGTATATAGCTTTTGAATTGATTGTGGTCGGTGGTATAGAATATATGAATCAGTGGTTATGCCATAATTAGTAGACATTAGTTATATAATGATGGTGGTAATGATGATGTAAAAATTGGGGAATTAAATTAAGTATAAGTATAAGTTTAAGTGTACTATGTTATGGAAGAATATTTTATTACTGGTTCGGCTTCCGCTATATAGTTTAGAGGACATGATGATTGAGTAATAATGGAAAACTTAATATTATGGACAAAGCTTTGTAATATTGCATTTTGGAGTCAAATAATTTGCACAGGGAATTCGTGGGGATCTATACTTAGTGTCAGTTTAGTTACATTACACATTCATGTAATTGGAATTGAATAATTCAACTCATGTACAACTACAGCTGTATTAACGAGCCATGGAGTCCAGTATGCTCAGGAATCTTTCGAGTTTATTGAGTTTTACATACGCGAGTGTTTAAGGGATTAGTTGAATTGTTAGTGAATCACGCATTGAATTTGGTATGATATAAATATGAGATAACTCTGACTAGCATAATTGACATCGTTAATTAATATTTCGCATAGATTGAGGTCATTGGAGGCCGTTTGATCGGTGTTCTAGAAGTCGCAAGGTTGGAAAATTTCTCGTTAGCCAGGTAAGTGAGACTTTAAGCTTTGATACTTGCTTTTCTAAAGCCCGTTTTAAAAATATATTTTCTCTGCCTGATCCATGTGTTGGGACAAGCGTGCACTTGGCAGAGACGGTGATCTTAGACTAGCCGTAAATATATTATTTTATGAAAAAAAAAAGTATTATTTTATAAGTTGTTTGATAGTGTGATACGGTTGTGCGCCATGAGGTTGAGTTTTATAGTTTGATACGGTTGTGCACCATGATATTGAGTTTGATACGTTGTGCGCCATATTGTTGAGTTTGATACACCTGTGCGCCATGATGTTGAGTTTGATACGACTGTGCGCCATGATGTTGTGTTTGATACGGTTGTGCGCCATGATGTTGGGGCATTGTGTATGCCTTTGTACATCACCCGAGCATTGTGCAGCTCTGTTACATATTTAAGGCATTGTGGTGCCGTTGTGGACTCCTGGTGTGTTGGTAAATTTCTTTCACTGCAATTATGATAAGTCCTTAGTGGATATCTTTGTTGGTTAATTCTTAATAACTCCGTTGATACCCGTATATTGAGCTATTGTATAATTATCATATTTACTATATCATAATGTGTTTGTATTTTCTAACACTTGTTCCAGAGGTAGTTAAAATGGCGGGTAGAGGATCTTACTGGGTTATATTTACGTATAACTTACTCCTTATTTGCATCTCTATGCAGATACCATTGCAGGAGATAGAGCTAGTGGCTGACGAGTTTGTTCAAGTGGATCCTATTACTGAGGTGAGTCGCCGCATTGTTCGTGGAGGCTTTCATTTCAGACTTGCTTAGTTCGTATTAGTTATTTCTTTTTCTTTTTTTTTGGGTTTGCATATCCGTTAATAAAACTCATATTACTCTGTTAGATGCTCCTTGGTCTTAGTGTGGAATTTGTGCTAGAGTTTTATTATTTGAGTGATTGTTGGTTTTTCTATCAATTGACTAAAATATTGGGTGATAATCATTACCTCTTTAATTATTAATAATACTTTAGGCCAGCACTTTTCTCTCAGTGTTTGTGTAAATGGTTAAACGTTAGATAAAGGGGTTCGCCTGGTAGGTGGTGTTAGTTGGGTACCAGTTACGTCTAGGGGTAGTTTGGGACGCGACACAGAGGTTTATATGGGTGTTGAGAGATGCCGATAGAGGAGATATCTTTACTGGGGAAGCTACAAAAGTTGAGTTGCCACAAGGGTTCGAGGAAAGAGTAAAAGAAGTAGGCTTAGTGGTGAGGGAATGGGCGCCACAACCAAGATCTTGGCTCATTCGTTGACTGGTGGATTCATGAGTCATTGTGGTTGGAATTCTTGTATAGAGAGTATTACAATGGGAGTTCCTATAGCTGTTTGGCCTATGCACTCTGACCAACCAATAAATGGTTTCTTGGTGACGGAAATATTGAAAATAGGTCTAATTGTTAGGGAGTGGGAGAAATGCGAGGAGCTAGTGAGTGCATATACCATTGAGAACGTCGTAAGGAAGTTAATGGCATCAGAAGAAGGCGACGAAATTAGAAATAGGGCAGATGATTGGGAGAAGACTTACTAGCCTTGTTATTTGTGTACTTTTTTCAACCTTCACAAGGTAGGGGTAAGGTCTACATACATTCTACCCCCAGAATCTACTTTGTGGGATTACACTGAGTTTGTTGTTGTTGTTGTTGTTCGCTTTCACTGCTCTTCTCACTCTTTCCTCGGGCTATGACTAGTTCTAACATATTGTAGTACATTTATAACAAGAATAACTTAGATCAATAAAATCCATCTTTTAAAAATATATATTGTGTCGACTGTGCCAACAAAGTCATGCTTTGAAAGTTGATGAGAAATACATATAAGTGGAGTAATACTCATATGAGACCTCCTTTTGGGAAACTATGCTGGCTTGACCTAAATCAAATGGTATCATACCATGTTAAGAGTCGGACAAAAGTAGCATTGCTTACAAACATTAAGCGTTGATACCAAAAGGAAGATTACATTCCAAAGGGATGTCTTATTATAAGAAGCATTACATAGATAATTGCATTTATAAAACTATTACTATAATCATTAATCCGAAATTCCTTTCATGAGTACCATAGAGCCTCTGCACACTGTGAGCTCCATTCCCTTCATGAGAATCAAGTATCCCAAAACCTATGTTGCTCGGAAGTCAGACCTAAACTTTCTCTTCCTCTCGTAAATCAGACCAAATGCTTATATTGTCATATTTAACTTAAATCCAAATCTATAAGGCGAGTTAACTAAAATTGATCATCCACAGAAAAGAGTAAATGAGAATATGTTTTCATTGTCATGGCCAGGGGCGGACGCACACTTTAACAAGAGGGGTCATCGGTACTCGGTAATTTCTGCAAAAACTTAATATATGCGTACAAATGTCTTCAAGAAATAGTCAAGTATTAGCATAGGCCCCCATATCAATCTTTATGAGTAGTGATAAATTTATACTGAATGTCATGGTGCCCCCACGATCACTGAATCCTGGGTCCGCCTCTGGTCATGACATTCCCTATATATAGTGTATTGATATGTTTCCTTATATTATACCACTTGTGCTAACGAGACTCTGGATGCATTTCACTACATTTTCAATATGAACAAACATTCATCGAGTTATGTGAGCGATGAAAGAATCCATCTCAGCGCGGTTTATTCTCCCATTCGCTACTGATTTCTTGATAGCATTGCTCAATCAGCTGCTCTTTTCTGCATCTCATCACCCTCTAGTGAAGCCATCAAAGTTCTCACAACATTTTCAACCATTTCTGATGTAACAACTTTTGCTTGCTTTTCTCTAGACCAATCGCGAGTTCTTTGACTTCTTCATCACACAACGATGTAGTCGTACCAAATGAAACGAAAATAACTGACTTTGGTTCTTGTTTGTCAAGCCAATCGAGGGATTCGTGGCGTTTGTTTGAATCTTTGCTCTTCTCTTTTAGCTCTAAAGGATTGAATGGACTTATAGCCCATTGCTTCAATTCCATCATATTCTTTGGACATTAAATCAAGGTACAAACTTTCTATTACTCGCGATGAATTGTAAAGTTCACCACAACTGATCTTCCCATCATATTGTTCCTGTATCTTGAGAAATTCCCAAAACTTTGTAGGAAAACAGTCTAAAATTGATGGTATATCCTCATAATGTTCAGTTCCAGGTAAGGCAGGTTTTCCTTTGAGTTTCCATAAAAATGAATATGAAAAGAAAGCTGAAGTACTATTGAAAGGATAGCACTCTGTATTTGGCATTTCCGGCAAATCTTGAACCACCCAATTCATCAAATTATCATAAATAACAACCACTTTCTTATGATTCTTTCTTTAAAGTTCGCGTACTAGAGCGCAAACTGGCTCGCGGAGATGGAATGTGGCGTAGAAAGAAGGCATTAGCTGGTTTGGGAATTTGTTTGAAGCATTAGGATTTGGAAGGGGAGTTTCAAAAGAAGGTGTTTGGAATTCATGGAAATGAATGTTTGTTATATTGAGAGGATCAAATGCATGAGCCTGAATTTTCGCCTGTTGAATATGAGCAATGGTTCCAACATAATAGACAGGGATATTGTACGAGGAAACGAGTCGAGAGAGATGGAGGAGTTAATTTAGATGGCCTTGTGCTGGAAGTGGTACCATGACCACTGCCACTCTGGTCGCGTCTTGCAGTGACGAAGCCAGGAATTTCGATTCAGTGTTAGTTTCTGACAAAGAGTGTTCAACTGACGACCTTTCACCTGCTATAGACTCGCCCTTGGCGTCTTGTGCACCATTTTGTCCATGGGTTTTTTAGGTAAGCTTTTGAGCCATAGGTAAGCTATTAGTTCTCTAGTGATACAATTTCAGAATTATTCTAATGAAGTGTATTATTGAGGAACAAAAAGGATCATTTTATAAGCAATGGTTTTGAAGATTGCAACAAATATTGGCCAACCATTTGCTAAAAGATTTGTCAATGGAACACAAAATGTGTTGCTACAAGATATAGACTTTCATTTTACATTATCTCTTGATTTTGTTCAAAACGACATATGTAGTAGAAACACCAATAACAAGACAATTGAATGTCATATTCATACAACGTGGGCCAAATGGCAAGAAACCCATATGACAAAATTAAGCTAAACAGCTTTTGCATCATGAATGGTTTGGCCCGTGGAAATTGAACCAGCAACCTTCCGAGGTTTTGAACCCCTTAGATCACTGAGCTATGTTTTTGGGTTTGTCAAGGAGATTTAAAATATAAAAATAAAGGTACAAATAGAATTTTGCATTATATGTACAATATAATTTTCCAACGAAGGGGATTCCGGTGAACTCGTCTGCCCCTGTTTTCACCTATATTTAATTAAATGAGTGCAAACGTTAGATACTTGGGTTCAAATTCCACCAAGACAAAAAATAAACTATTGTATATATTCTCTTCTAGATAAAATGATGAAGTTGATGCTATGCTATAATAGTAGAGTTCAACTCAGTCACACAACTGACTTTGTCACAAGAAAAAGCATGCAAGTGATAATACTACAAATACAATAGAGTAATAGACCTAACAATGAGAACTATTGTAGTCTGGGGTGGAAGGGGTCCATTCGAATCTTTTTTGCAGAAAAATTATACAATATATATAAGGTTAATTTTTTTTATGCATATTCACTTCTTTATTTTTTTGAATCCTTTTAGTGAAAATCGTGTTTTCACCAAAATTGTAGTGAGTTGTACAACTTGTTCCTTTCTTTTGAACTTTCCTATTATTATGTGGTCCCTTATATATTGCATATGCCGTTAAACGAAGGTGAAAGAGTAAGAGTTTGTCTAACTCTATGCATTAAACAAGTCAGTGGACATGAAAAGAAAAGCCAAACATAGTTTGCCTAACATCTCAAAGATAGTTGCTGAATGGGAAGTACATTTCGACAAAATATAGTAAATTTTTTCATAATTGGTATATAATCTTCGACAAATTAAATTGTTACCTCATATGAATAATTTCAAAGATGTGTTTAACTGATACACACTAGTATTTTAAAAAAACAATTAATATGGCAGTGGGTTTTTAAGGGGTGAATCTAACATCCCACATATCCCGCATCAGAACATAAATGTATGGGTCGAAATCTTACCACACGTGGATCGGCATTAAAAGGAATGGCGAAGGGTCGACTAAGTCGTGGTCGTATTCATAAGATATCATAACAACAAGTATCTCGGCCGCTGTCGGGATCGAACTATCAGAAAGCCTATACGGTGAAGCATATGTCATACCGCTTAAGGGGAACGACCCAATGTACAATCAACAGATTAATGTATTCTGGCTAAGAACCGTTGGGTAAAAGAGAATACTTACTATATATACGGAGGGAAGAGAACAAGAATGGGGGGGCTCTCTCCTTGAGGAAAAAGAGACAGAAGAACCGGAAAAGGCTGCGGGAGAAAAACAAGAGAAGTTTCAGATCTCAGCGACAGATCTTTGTAATCATATATCTTGAATCAATAAAGATAGATCCCGTAGCTGTTAATGACATTCTTTCTTTTTCTCCTTTATTCTTACATTACGGAACAGTAGATCAAGAATGCAAGCATGTCATTTGTGTTCGATATCTTTTATAAATCTTAAAAGTTCATGAGCTTGACTATATCTTATTCTCTTATTCAATGTGCTTTGATCTAGAGCTAATTATCCTTGGCTAGGATTATCCATAATTTTAGTTTCCTCTAGGTCTGAAGTCAGTTAGGGTTTCACTCCCCGGCTGTCACAGCCTCACCCTTTCATTTACAAACATAAACTTGAGAACTTCATAGGCAAGCTTTCGAAATAGCCAAACCAATTAGGGGCAGATCTTCCCTCTTTTTATGGGTTTGTCGAGTACGTCGTTTAGAGTATAAAACCCACGTCTTGCTGTAGCGGTGGGTTTGGTACGTCGTATGAGTACTCAAGAAGGGGTTACGGCCACTACACACTTAGTACGTCCACAATCCTATTTGCTACATTAGCGTTATATACTGATTTACACTTCCACCTCTTAGGAAGAGACAATAGCCTACTGTGTGATTCTTTGAAATAACCGGCTCACTCTGCCTTATTTCTATACCCATGCGCACAATGTAATTAATGTACGGAATATAACTTATATTTCCCTTGTTTTTGCGCACATCAAATATCGGATCGGACCGAGACTCGAGCTCAAAGTCTCAACGAGCAAAGTAAGTTCAGCCCATGAGAAGCCAAACACGAGGCTACCAAATCTAAAGCCGCCATTCGAGTACGACGGGTCATCCTACAACATCCCCCTCCCATCGTTGACCTATCAAATCAAGGTAACAAGCAATTTCGTTTGGGTTTAACTTGTTATTTATCTTTTTTGGATTGGGATAGGAACACGAGCATTCTTACAGGTGCGTGAACAAGGAACAAATGCATCGGAAAATGTTCCAATCATACCATCCCACAGGCAACGGCCGAGCAAAACCCTCCACACCGTACCATATTGCAAATAACAGACAAATGGCTCAAAACAAGCTGGTATCATTAAGAAAATCTCCATGAGTAGGGACTAAGCGGTGAGCCCATGGAATGTACAGTACTCTCCAATGAAAGAAAAATTAAATGAATTGGGACTCATCCCAACGCACTATACTCTCAAATGAAAGCAAAACTAAACGAACCGAGACTCATCCCGACGCACAATACTCTCCAATGAAAGCAAAATTAAACGAGCCGGGACTCATCCCAGCGCACAGTACTCTCTAATAAAAGCAAAAGCAAAGAAACCGGGACTCACCCCGATGCACAGATAAACAATGCAGCAACGAATAATGTTCTCCAGTATAAGAAACACAACAGGCGAATCTCACCATCCTACCAAACCCGCACGTCGCTAAGTGAATGAAAGCTGGACTTCGCTCAAACTCACAATGGGTTACAATTCCAACCTCGCTCGGATTGACACCCTTACAGTCATCACCAAGTGAGGAAAATTCAACTTCTCTTGAACTCACAACGGGTTACAATTTTGACCTCATCCGAATTTACACCCCTACGGTCATCGGCCATCGCCAGGCAAAAGCAAAATTTGACCTCGCTTGAATATATAAGTCAAAACTGATTTCGCCCAAAATGGCAAATTAGAAGTTAACCTCGCTCGAATTTGCGGATCAAGAGCGACTTCATTCAAACTCACAAAACAAGATCCAATCTCGCTCGGATCAAGCGAACTAAATTCGAGTATGATTCTTCGCCTCGCCTATCGACTACTTCTCCAGGCCGACGATGAAGGGACTAGGCATACTAGAACTTCTTCAATGTATGAATGAAATAAGCAGCAACATGTAATATTCTCCAGTGAATGAAATAAATAAAGCAGCATCTCTGCACAACTCCACTGAGTCATTTTACACTCTACATTTGACCTTGCTCGAATTACTTTACATTCGACCTCGCTCAAATTACTTTACATTCGACCTCGCTCGAATTACTTTACATTCGACCTCGCTCGAATTACCTACATTCGACCTCACTCAAATTACCTTACATTCGACCTCATTTGAATTCCCAATTAAAAATCAGGGACTCATTAGGAGGAATTCCGAAGATCTTTTTCAAAAAAAAAAGAAGAAGAAGGAAAGTCAAAAAATATGTAACCTAAAGAAAATCGACTATTTTATTCAGAAGATGTACATGCGCAACAACCACGCCTTACAAAGGGCCAAAAGCAGGACCCCAAGAAAAATAAGAAAACAAATAACAACAACAAAAAAAGTACAAAAGCAGCAAAAAAAATTCACTCGGCTTAATCTACACTGCCATCATCCGAAGGAAGCCCGTCTTCAGTCTCAGCACCCTCACCAGCCTCCGGTGTTGCAGGGTCATAGCCACAAGCAAGACGAGCCTCGCGTGCCTTCGCCCGAGCATCTTCAAAAGAGGCCTCAGGAACGCTCCCCGCCTCTCACAAACCCTTGTATATATCTCGTTGGGCCTCAGCATGAACCATACCTCATACAGACGGCAGGGCACAGTAGCGAAGGTAGATTCTTGAGGGGGAGCCTGAGCCAACAGCTGCGTCCTCTCGGCCTCAAGAGCCCAACTCGATCTCCCAAGCTCGAAGCCTCCCGATCAAGTTCACCAATCCGCTTCTCGAGCCGCACTTTCCTAAGTGTGGTTGTTGCCCTCTCAGATTCCTTCTCAGACCTGAGGACGAGGATAGTGTCTTCTAGCGCCGCCGCCCTCGTCAAAGCCAACACTCGAGCCCCCTCGGCTCTCTCCAACTCGGCCACCTTTTTTTTGAGCTCAGCCACTTTCTCTGTCCATTCTACGCTTAGGTCAGCAACTCTGGTGGCGTTTTGTTCAAGCTCGGCTTGCAAAGACATCACTTTTGCCTGAAGGTATTCACATTTCATCGCGACCCTTTTGCCCACTTCGAGCTCCTCGTCTTTGGCATGAAGCAACTCCTCAAGCTCGGTGCATCTGCGGATAGACCGCATCAGTTCCTCGTCCCTTTTATCCAACTCCTCCCCAACGAACTAAGTATTACCGCCCACCCTGAGCTGTGCGTGCATCTCACGGCACTTGTCACGGTACCGGAGATACTTCGCGGCCATTTTTAGAAAGACTTCGGCCCTAGTCTTAGCCCTACGGGCACTCTGGATCTCCATCATGTAAGTCTGAAAAAGGAAAAGGGGGAAGAAAAAGAGGGGAGGAATCAACGAAGGCAAAATAGCACAAAACAAAGAAAATGGTGAAAGGAATCTCACCCTCAAGGCCATCCGCGCCATACCACGTGACAAAACGGAATCATTGATCTCCCGAAGAGACTCACTTTCGCCGGCAGAACACAGAAGGTCAAATTGAGGCACAAGCTCCACCGTGTCCTCCAAAAGGTTAAAATCCGATGGAATCTCGAGCACACGAGAAGAACCGGAAAAGGCTGCGGGAGAAAAACAAGAGAAGTTTCAGATCTCGGTGGCAGATCTTTGTTATCACCTTTCTTGAATCAATAAAGATAGATCTCGTAGCTGTTAATGGCATTCCTTCTTTTCCTCCTTTATTCTTCCATTACGGAACAATATATCAAGAATGTAAGCATGTCATTTGTGTTCCATATCTTTTATAAATCTTAAAAGTTCATGAGCTTGACTATATCTTATTTTCTTATTCAATGTGCTTTGATCTAGAGTTAATTATCCTTGGATAGGATTTATCCTCTATTTTTTTAATTAATTAGTTTAACAAAAAGTTTAACACTTTTTGGTCAAACAATAAAGAGAAAGTTAGGGGTTGTATAAGAGTGAGCTCAAGATTTAATTATTGAGTTGCCTTTGAGGTTAAAACCCAAGGAGACAAAACACCAACACCTCAAAGGCGGTTAGGCCAAAACGGATAATATGGGGACTCCTTATATATTTACCTGTAAAAATATAGAAAAGAAAAATTTAAAAATAATATTATTCTCTTAGATCAAGTGTTCCTCGTTATTTTTTTTTGTCAAAAAAAGAAAAAAGGAAAAAAGGAAAAAACAAAAGACCATGTAGTGATTCACCATTTCATCCCATGACCTCATTAAAGCTGCCTAAAATTTAAAAAGGGTGAAAGATGTAGGATTAGTGGTAAGAAAATGGGCACCACAACCAGAAATCTTGGCTCATTCGTCGACAGGAGGTTCATGAGTCATTGTGGTTGGAATTCTTGTATAGAGAGTATTACTATGGGAGTTCCTATAGCTGCTTGGCCCAGTGGCGGATCTAGGATTTTAAGGTTATGGGTGCTCACTTCCTTTAATATAAAGGTGCTATCAATCGCATAGTATAAGTGCACAATTATTCGAATGCAAGAGTAAAAGACTTAATATGAAAACTACTAATAATATTTTCATTACCAACAAATACTTTTAGTCACAAGTCATAATGAACTACTAATAGTATTATCATTACCAAAAGGACTTCTAGTCACAATTCACAACTGTGATCGACGACTTTTCATATGTTGAAAACGATGAATAATGGCATCGTTGCTCACAGTTGCTGATTGTTTCGTCTACTTTGTTCTTCGTTTTCCCCTTCTCTACGTTCCTAATGAGCAAAAATTCCAGAAGGGTTTAGTTTTAAACTTTTCTGTAAGACTGTAAAAATGGCCTTTCTTATACTTAAATCTAATTAATTATTAATATAATAAAGCCTAAAGGTGAAAGGAAGTAGGAAAAGGAAAAACTAAAAATTAAAAAAGAAAAATTTAGTTCAAAAGCAGAGAAAGGTTAAAAACTTAAAAGATAGGAAAACGTAAAGGGAATACGAAAAGTTAAACTAAAACGTAATTTGACAACCTAAACTAAAACCTAAAGGGAATAGGAAAAGTTAAAAACTTTTTCATAAAAGACAAAGAGCTGACATTCAAAAATATAAAGTTTAACTTTTCCATAAAAGACAAAGAGCTGACATTCAAAAATATAAAGATAGTACTGTGACAGAAATCGATCTTTACTTTCAGGAAAGGTTTTAACTGCCACTTCAGAACCACAGCACCCATCAGTCATTTTGTTTATTGGGTGCTCACTAAAATGTTATATCCTATTTCTTATATTTTTATTATAGCTATACCTAGTTTACGTCAAGGTTAATGGGTGCTTAAGCACCTAAAACTAGCATGTAAATCCGCCCTTGGCTTGGCCTATGCACTCTGACCAACCAAAAATGGTTTCTTGGTGACGGAAATATTGAAAATAGGCCTGATTGTGAGGGAGTGGGAGAAACGCGAGGAGCTAGTGAGTGTATCCACCATTGAGAACGTCGTGAGGAAGTTAATGGCACATCAGAAGAAGGCGACGAAATTAGAAAAAGAGCAGAAGAATTGGGAGAAAGGGGGTGCTTCTCTAATGGAGTTGGATTCTTTCATCGCGCATATGACAAGATAGATTTTCTTTAAACCTGTAACTTGTCTGTTTCTTAAATTTCTTTGATCTTGGAATGTTCCATATTCTGAACTTTTCTAATATGTTGGTAAGATGACTGCTTTGTATTTCTCTCACTGAAGAGCACAGCTTAACGGATAATTAATCTGGTTCTAACTATGCAGAATACAAGGTTGATGTGGAGAATAATCTTGTATGCATTTCAGTTGTTTGCATATGTACTATATTAAACTATTTTATGACAGAACACTTTGTTCATAGATTCCTATGTGCTGTATTGGTTTTTTCTTTACTCTTCAATGATGCCTGATTCTCAAGTACCTTTTACATATAAAGGTTTAATATAAAACAATTTTGATACTTATTGTTCTCTAGAACATAAGATGAACATGATTAGCTTCGATAAATACAATTCAGATTACTTAACTACAAAAAGGGGAGCTTTGACGTAACTGGTAAAGTTGTTGTCAAGTGACCAGGAGGTCACGGGTTCAAGCCGTGGAAATAGCCTCTTGCAAAAATGTAGAGTAAGGCTGCGTACGATAGACCCTTGTGGTCCGGCCCATGGGCGAAGCTACGGGTTCAAGGGTGGTCCCTTCATCGAAAATTTACACGGTATATATAGGTAAAATATTAGATTTTAGTGGTATATAACATATATTGAACACCCTTTATTGGAGATTTTTTATACTTCTTTCAAGTTTGAACAACCTAAATAAAATTTCTGGCTTCGCCACTGGTCCGGCCCTTCCCCGGACCTTGCGCATAGCGGGAGCTTAGTGAACCGGTCTGCCCTAGATTATTGAACTGCAAGAACGTAACGAGAAGACTTACTAGCCTTGTTATTTACGTACTTTTCTCTACATTCACAAGGTAGGAGTAAGGTATACATACATTCTACCCCATACCCTACTTTGTAGGATTACGCTGGGTTTGTTGTTGTTTTTATTCTCTTTCACTGCTCTTCTCACTCTTTCCTTGGGCTATGGCTAGTTCTAACGTGTTGTTGTAGTACATTTGTATACAAGAATAACTTAGACCAACAAAGTTCCGCTTTGGAACTTGATGAGAAATAGAACTACATATAAACGGAGTAATACTCATGTGAGACCTTTTGGAAAAACTGTGCTGGCTTGACCTAAATCAAATGGTATTATACCGTGTTAAGAGTCAGACAAAAGTAGCATTACTTACCGACATTGAGCGTCGATACCAAAAGGAAGATTACATTCCAAATGGATGTCTTATTATAAGAAGCATTACATAGATAATTTCATTAATAACACTATTAGTATAATCATTAATCCGAAATTCCTCCGAAATTCTTTTCATAAGTACCATTCCCTTCATGAGAATCAAGTATCCCAAGACCTATGTTGCTCGGACCTAAACTTTCTCTTCCTCTCGTAATCAGACAAATTAGTTATATGGTCATATTTAACTTTAATCCAAATCCATAAGGCAAGTTAATTAAAATTGATCCTCCACAGAAAAGAGTAAATGAGAATATGTTTTCATATTTAACTTTAATCCAAATTCATAAGGCAAGTTAATTAAAATTGATCCTCCACAGAAAAGAGTAAATGAGAATATGTTTTCATATTTAACTTTAATCCAAATTCATAAGGCAAGTTAATTAAAATTGATCCTCCACAGAAAAGAGTAAATGAGAATATGTTTTCATATTTAACTTTAATCCAAATTCATAAGGCAAGTTAATTAAAATTGATCCTCCACAGAAAAGAGTAAATGAGAATATGTTTTCATTGTCTTGGCATTCCCTATATATATAGTGTATTGATATGTTTTATTGCATTATACCACTTGTGTTAACGAGACTCTGGATGCATTTCACTACATTTCCAATATGAATAAACACTCATCGGGTAATGTCAGCGATGAAAGAATCCATCTCAACGCGGTTTATGCCTCCATCTGTTACTGATTTCTTGATAGCATTACTCAAATCAGCTGCTCTTTTCCTCATCTCATCACCCTCTGTTGAAGCCATCAAAGTTCTCACAACATTTTCAACCACTTCTGATGTAACAAGTTCATCTCATTCACTAAAGCTCTTGGAGATTCAAAAGGTTGATGGAAAGGAAAATGTTGCAGACCCATAGACCCATTCACTAAAGCTCTTGGAGCAAAGGAATTTGACAAGCACAAGTGGAAATTGGGAATGAAGTACAAGAGCGATTGACTCTAGTACAAGTGGGAGATTGTTAGGAATATATTAGATATGCCCTAGATCCAATCTCATGTTTTATGATTTGAACATATTTTTCATAAATGTTATTTCATATAAAATATATATGGCATTTGATATTCTTTTACCATTATTATTAATTGCTTGATTAATTTTATAAGGTCCTTGATTAAATTTGAGACTTGGCATCGTGATTGAAATCATGATAATGAGAGTGAAGTTTCTTATAATTTAATCTAAATTTTGTTCTTGATCATAGGATTATTAATTTGAACGCTAATAATCCGGTTAGATCAATATCTATGTGGCAAAACTGACAAATCTGATGCTGAATGTTTCCATTGTAAGAAAATAGGACATTGGAAGAAAAACTACCCGGAGTATCTTGCAACTCTAAATGATAAGAAACAAGGTAAGACTCAATTGAAAAATATTTTCAAAGTTTCTTTAACTACTACTGATGTTTCATTGTGGGTATTAGATACTGGCAGTGGTTATAACATCTGCAACATGTTATAAATGGCTATCTCCAACATGATGTTTATTTCTTACCTAATGTGAATGTTAATTCAATTATGCATGTTTCAAGTCTTAAGAGAAAAAGAGATGATCAAGTAAATCATACATACCTTTGGCATTGTAGGCTTGGTCATATTGGAGAGAAAAGAATTAACAAGTTGTACAAGGAAGGGTACCTTGACAAATATGATTTTGAATCATATCCAACTTGTGAATCTTGTCTCAAAGGAAAAATGACCAAATCTCCATTTACTGGAAGTGGAGAAAGAGCTACTGAATTATAGGGACTAATTCATACAGATGTTTGTGGGCCCATGAAAATTCAAGCTAGAGGTGGATATTCTTACTTCATCACTTTCACTGATGATGTGTCAAGATATGGATTTGTGTATCTTATGAAACACAAATCTGAATCTTTTGAAATGTTCAAAAGGTTCCATAGTGAAGTTGAGAAACAGACGGGTAAAAGTATCAAGGTACTAAGGTTTGATAGAGGTGGAGAATATCTTAGTGAAGATTTTACTAAATATCTCA